TAAATATAGAAAATGTCTAAAAACTTTTTTTAAGAACTGACTTGAAGTTTTTATTCAGTATGGCAGATTTTCCTACTATGTAAATCATTTATTACATTAGCTCGATGAAAAATAAAATAACAAAAACTGACCTCAGTAATTTAGACTTTTGTTTCGTTTCAACATAAATTAATAAATCATTTATTAACATATTATCATACAACTTTGTGAATAAATTAGAATCCTTTTACCTATTAATAAAATGCTTTCCCAAAAACACAAAATGTTTAGACTTAAACCAAAATATTTCAAACGAAATTCTTTTTGTATGTCAAGTGTTGGCCTAGTGGTTAGAGCAGTGCGCTTGTGCTCTGAAAAGGTTGCATGTATACGGTTCCACTCCCACAGCCTCCACTCTGGGTCCCTGAGCACGACCCTTAACCCCACACTGCTCCCAGGGCGCCGCACAGTGGCAGCCCACTGCTTCCCGAGGGGTTGGAGTAAATGCAGGGGTACATTTCTTCAGTGTGAGATTAATAAAGTTTATTTATTATTATTTTATTTATTGTTTAAGCACAAAGGAATTACAGAAACATTGATCATTTCTCAAAATATGACAACCTGATGGATTTTGAAGCAAAGGCTGTTTCAATTTACGAATAAAATATTTTCTTGTTTACAAAACAAGGTCTTAAATTGCAGAGCAAACCAGTTTTATTTAAAATGCCTTTACAAAATAAATCACAATTAAAAACAGAAGAATAAAGCCAGGTAATTAAAAACAACAACAGCTTGAATGGAAAATTTTAGAAATCCAACTTTGGTCTTCGACTTCAAAATAGTCCTCTTGGTTTGGTTGTTGCAGGTTTTCATCAACTTATCTTTTATAAGTTGATGAAAACCTTTTATTTATTTTGACTGCAGCTGCACTCAATACCTTTGATGAGATAAAAGGTTCCCACAGCCACACCGAGGACGGCCAGAGTCAGGCCGACTCCACAGAACACTGATGGTCCAATACCGGGCTCGGTCTTTTCAACCTCTGGATACAATCAACACAAACATAAACATCCACACTTCTTATAGTTTTCATTTTGTACTTGCTGTTTTTCTCAGTTTATGGCCTGAATAATATTTTCTTACCCCAGATTCTTGTCAGGGGCTCCTCCAGAGCCAGATGTTGCACCGTGCAGCTGTAGATGTCTCCTGCCTCAGGTATGAACTCCAGTCTGAAGATTTGATTAAAGGAACCGTCTTTGCTGGGGACAGGAACATTGATGCTGGTTCCGTCTGTCACATTCTTTCCATTTTTGGTCCAATAAACTTTGACGGGGGCAGGATAGAACCCAGAAACATGACTGATCAGAGTGTTCTTCTCTCCCAGCTCCACCTCATCCCTGCTGAAGATGATTAGGTTGGAGGGAGGTTCTGTTAATAATAGATGTTGAAAAACTGGTTGGTTCCTTTCCATCTCATACGAACAAAGCTGTATTTCTCCCTCAACACGATTTAGGTAAAATTAACTCATTGAATTATGCTTGTAAATATGAATGTAAAATACATTGCTGATTGTTTATTTTACAAAGACATGATTGGTCCCATACAGATAACCTTAGATTATCTCACTCTCAGATTGATTTTTAGGACAAACTTCTATAATGTCATACTAGGATTGGTCAAATCTATGTATTCTTGATCTGGGTGAGGTACTTTATCTGAGTATCTTTTTCAGACCCCGCCCCCATTTTATATTGGCCTAAGTAGCTGTAGTCACATTTGAGTATACTGGCAATCTCTACAGTCACTAATCAGCTCTGTGCTGCATAGGGCAAAGGTGTCTGCCTCTGTATATGTGATGCGCTCATAGTATGTAATTATAAATAGCAAATTTAAGGCAACGCAGACAAAAATATTGAATATTAAATCCCTGTGATTATTACATGAAGCTGTAACTGTCAAAGTGCATAAATTGGAATGACAAAAATACATTTGCTAAATGGAAACAACTATATTTTTTGATTAAAGAAAGTTACACGTCATTGCGAGGATTTTGGGGTTGCATTGAAATTATTATGTTTTGCATCTCTTATAATCCTCAGTGTAAAAAACTAATTAATTTCAGGATAGTCACTGATGGCCAAGTTCTATCCAATATAAGATAATTGATTGTTCCGTATGTTCCTCACAGAGTACTTTGCTCTCAATCTGCAGGTTCCTAGAATTTCTAAAAGTAAAATGGGAGGCAGATCTTTTAGTTATCAGGCTCCTCTACTCCTCTCTTAGGCCTTGAAATATGTTTACACTGTGTGAAAATTATATAGCACCATCAAACCAACTACCAGTCTTAGTCCGTGAGGGCTGGCTTAAAACTTTTTTTGATAAAGCTAAATTTAGAGTGGCTTAGGTTATCCTGAGCTATCTCTATAGGTATGCTGCTAAAGGCTTAGACTGCTGGAGGACATAGGGACCTTTTTCATCATTCTGTTTCATTATATCTCTATTCCCCCACTGCAGTATATGTTTTTTTCAATCTCCACATTTATGCTCTTTCTGCTTTTTCTCATAGTGGCTTCATCTGGCTGTGACTCCATCCTGGAGAGAAAAATGAGCTGTGCTGCTGCCATTAATACCTTTGTTTATAGATGTTGGAGCTTGGCCAGTTTTTCAATGTAGTCCTGTTTCTCTGACTGTGACTGGCTGGATGTGCTCTCTTTCATCCTCTGACATGAGAGGTGGCTGGCTGTGTGTTTCCTGGACAGGGCCACCTGTGGAGCTATATGACAGGTGTCTTTTGTATCTCTGCTTCTTTCTTTATTCCTGCTTCTGTCTCATTGAACTCCAGTCAGCCTCTGCAGTTGGCCGCTCACACTGAGCCTGGTTCTGCTGGAGGTTTCTTTCTGTTAAAAGGTAGTTTTTCCTCTCCACTGTCAATACAAGCGTGCTTGGAGAGAGGGATTGCCTTCGAGTCAATAAGTTGATGCAATTAACTGGTTTTCCTTAAAATATAAAACTTTAAACCAATCTGACTGTATGATCTGATTGAATTGTCTCTGTAAAGTGTCTTGAGATGACATGTGTTTTCAATTGGCGTGATATAAATACACTGGATATAAATACAATGGATACATAACAGCGGTTACTGTTTAGTTCTTTGATGACTGACTAAATCACACAGATCAAATTTTCTTTTCATTATTTCAGACTTGAATAAAATTAAACAAATTCAATAAGGCTTTTTTGCTATTACCTTCCTTCATTGGGACTTCCTTCATTGCTTTTTGTCTTATCCTTAAGTTATCTCTGCAGATCTTCTGATGGGCTAACGCTGAATCATAAAACCCTTTAAAGGCAGGATGATTTGCAAAGTCAGGCAGAGCATCAACTCCTCTTTGGTTGATGTAGTCTGCGTACCAGATATCCCCTGCTTCCGTCCCATACACAAACCCTGTATCTGAATCTGAACAGCCGAGGAACCAGAAATCCTCATATAGAGCTGCAGGTAGAGAAAAAAAAAATCAGAAAATAGTTGGTTTCTTTTATTTTTTTTTATCAGTCTGAGGTTAAACTCACCGCTGGAAGAGACACAGAGGACAAAGGAAAAAAACAGGAGTGCTCTCATTCTGGTCAGATCACTTTGTTTCCATTAAACCGTGCCTGTAACAGGAAAGTCAGCTTAAACGGAAATGTCACACAGATCAGCCAGTCATAGAGCATATGAGGCTAGATAACATCAGATGATGTCATCAGAGTCCAGGTAGATATATGAGTCATTTCAGTTCCGCCCTTAAAATAAAAGAACAGGAAATCAATGGCAACAATAAGTTTTAGAAAACTTGGTATTGCCATCTAATGGTCAATAGAAAATGGTGTAATGAGTGGCAGAGACACAATGCAAAACCTTTAATTTTAAACCGTTATGGCTTTGGTGATTTGAGTCTGTTTGCTGGATCTGTGGTGCAGTTGGTAGCACTGATGCCTTGCAGCATGATGGTCCTGCATTCTGGTCCAGCTTACAAGTAATAAATTTGCATGTAAAGTTGATTGATCTCCTAAAATTGCCATCAGGTATAATTCATACAAAGTTCTTTGGCTCTTTGAGGCACTGTTTAGGGTGTCCTCCTCCGATAATCCCATAAAACTCAAGGCTCTTGGAACCCCACCAGAAGAGTACAGGATAATAATTGTTAATCTGTGAAGACTTCTAGACATTGTAACAGAAATCTGTGGTTATGTAGGGCTGCTCCTGATACGATGCAATAACGTCAGTGACTTGTCCAGTCTTTAAGGTACAGAGGACTATCTTTTATTTCCGGGTGGATCATCTAAAAAAGGGGTCCTCCTAATTGTCAATCATTCTGAATACATGTTTATGTAAGACTGTTCTACAGTACGTGCTCGCCCCATTAGCGATCTTTTTCTGCACCTGCACACTTTCAGCTGCATATGTGTGGTGAGCTCAGTTTCAGACAGTCACTGAAGCTCACCTTCGTAAGAGAAAAATATTCTCCGAAGTTTATGAGAAGGATATAATATATCGCAAGATCATTTGCACAGAGAGCTATCCTCGAAAAGCATTATGGAATTTGCTTTCACAGCGGCCCACTGTCACTATTTCAATATATTTCCACCCGACTAATAACAAAGATGGTGCAGGCAAAGCGAGTGAGGAGTTACGTGCAGTGATTATCAGTCTGATCAGTCAGTAAAATGAGTTCGATATGAATTCCACTATATAGCCTCCGCTGTATGTGGACGTAATAAGCTTGTATAAGGTATGAGAACAGCAATTTTTTAAATGGTGCATGTATAATTAGAAATGGGCTTGTGTATGCTCTTGCACATGCATTTTATGGAGAGGCCAGGTCTTTAAATAAAATCCACCAACATCTTAACATATGACACTTATCACCTTCTGGTAACACTACATGTGGCATGTTACCAAAAAAAAAGAAAAAGAAATTATACCATATTTAAAACCCAATTGTATTCACATTTAATGCAAAATGAAAAACATATTAACAAACACGTATATATATACAGAAAAGTATGTCATTTTTTTTTTTTTTTTTTTTTTTTTACAAAAGGAGATTCTTTTTTTTTGTCTTGAACAAAAACACTGAAATTAAGGTAACATAACTTTAATGGATATTTTTAAAAAGAATGATTCATATTAGGATCTAATTTTAAGAGTCTTAACATTGAGAATGTTCATATTGAAGTTTGTGAAGTGAAGTTTGGATAAGGCATTATGATCAATAAAACTGCTAAATGAAGCATTTTTTTTTACTCTATGCTGTTTAGCTACTGTTCTGTTCTGTATTGATTTAGTTCCTATGTTCACAGTTGTCCTTACATCAGTTCCTCATTTCACAGCTGCTGCTCATGGATGGATGGTGTTCTGTTAAATGATAGTTTTGCTTTGTGCTTCCTCTATTCTTCTTTTGTTTTTAGTACAAATTGTATAATGTTTCTGGAGCAGCTTTACCTTAGGTAAACATACATTTACATGTCAAACATTGAGTGAAACACTTTGATTGTCAAGGTTCTCGCTTTACTAGGTGATTGTTACCTATCCCAGCAAATGTTCAGTCTAGAACGCAATCCTTCCAGTTCCACTCAATCTTTGCAAGATCTTCAACTTATCCATTCTACATGATGTTTCTGAGATTTTATTTCTTGTTTGTGTATCATTGGATTTTTATCTGTCACAGATTAAGTTAGTTACAACCTAATTTCAGCTTCAACCTTCATTCTGCCTTCCTGTATTTGGATTCTCTTAAGGAAACATTGGTACAACGCCAGACGACGGAGAAAGGTTATGTGGTTTGTAAACAAATCTGGACCATCAGAAATAACAATGCAAAATAGTATTAATAAAGAAAAATAATCAGTGAGCAGAAATAATTGCAAAGGGACGGAAGACTTTTTTATTCAATTAACAAGAAATTAAAATAAAATACAGAACCAGAATATGTGAATAACAAAAGAGCCTGGAAAGAGATAGTGATTGTGTGGCCATATTTTTATTACCTTTGGAAAGAGATAGTGATTGTGTGGCCATATTTTTATTACCTTGTGGGGGTAATTTCCCTACCTATGGGTAATTGTTGGGACTATCGACTGGTCCCGACTGGTAAAGATTCTCTTCTTAGGGTTGGGTTTAGGACTTTGCTTGTTAACAGGCATTAAAAAGGGAAGTTTGGAACTGATCTATCTGCCAATAATAACAAACTGTTGCAATCAGACAGTAAGGATCCCAGAACTTAGCCAGAACAGAACAAGGGATGTTTAAAGACAGTTTATTTAAAGGTAAACTGAAGCCGGTCGCGGGATTATCATCAACGTCTATATCAGAATCATGTGGAAGCAGAGACAGCAGGTGAGTGCCCAAACCAACTTTACACAACGGATAGATAGTAGTAACACTCAGTAACCTCACATTCTGGAGTCTGATAGGAACAGTGTTCCAGTTAGTTGATTGGCACACTAACGATCACCAATCTGATCAGGGGAACTCTAGCTGATACTCGGTTGTCAGGAGACAGACAAGGGATCAGAATCATGATGCTGATGACTGGTTGGGGGTCCGGCAGGAATTTCCAGAAACCGTTGTCACAGATGAGGCCTATAGGGTCAGAACCGGATAATCCAAGTTCCAGAGAGAATCCAGAGGGAAATCCAAGGCAGAGTCAGGGTACAGATCCAGGTCCAGTAACAGGCAGACTTACAGATAAAACGGGTAAGGCTGGCTCAGATGATCAGGAGACGAAACAGATCAGATCAGGCAAACAGGTAGGCAATCAGATTACGAAGGGTTCAGGCAGGCTCAGGTATTAAGAGACAGAACAGCTCAGGCAAACAGGCCTGCAGAAGTCCAGCTCATGTCCTGGTTCCCAAGAACTTTAAAAACAAATGAAAGGAATTAAAATGACTCCTAAAATGCACTGGGAACCACTGTAAGGAAGCTAAAATAGGGGAAATGTGGTCAATTTTCGTGTACCTGTTGAAAGATGTGCAGCAGCATTTTGTTTCCTCTGAAGCTGGGAAATATATAAATCATTGACTCCTATATAAAGTGCATCACAGTAATCCAGACATGTGGTCACAAATTCATGGATTACTGTTTCAAAATGTTGTCTGGAAATAATAGATTTAATTTGGCTAGCTGCCTTAAGTGTAAAAAACTGGATTTGACAACAGCTCTGTGTGCTTCCAGCTTAAGATTAGCATCCATCTTGACCCCTAAATTTGTAACAACCGGCTTGACATACTGGGCAGAAGAGCCAAGATTGGTCAGGGAATCTACACTGGGTCTGCCAGAAATTACTACCTTTGTCTCATCTTCATTAAGTTTCAGGATATTTTTAGGTCCACCCAGGCCTTCTTATCTTTCAGACATAATAACTGAGACGGAAGAGCGGTGGGATCTGCGTTCTTTAGTGTTGAAAATATCTGTTTGTAATCTGCAAAAACAATGAAAAGAAAAATAGAGCCAAGGGGAAGGAGGTACATGCTACTGGCTCACTCAAAGAAGACTAAGAATCAATTAACTAAAGATTATTGGTTGCTCTAAACTAGTGAAATGCTAATTTGATCACATCCAAAATTCTTCAAGATTAACTTTGGTTCTCAAACAAAATCCATGCTGTGCCAAACTGCAATGTCACTGCATCATCTAATGGATTATGGTTTTCAACAAAGATTTTTTTTCTTCTTCTTTGTACTTTAGTTAACTTTCACTAGTGTTTTTAGCTGAAATATGTTTCACTTAGAGCTGAATGATTTTGTTGATAAACTTATATTTTGAATAGAGATTGAGGTGAATTTATTCAGTTTATGTGCAGAATTATCTGACCATGATTTGAGCTTGATTCACACTTGGATTAGGGTATTTGTTCATAAACAAGATATGACAGTCTGAATAATATCTGATTAAATAACACATTTACCACCCCTGTTGGGGTGGGCAATAGATTTATATTAGATGGGGCAACAGCGGCGTTGGATGTAGAAGTTTGCTCTGAAATCAAAGGGTTGACAGTTCAAGCCCCGACTCTGGCTTTCAGTGTCGTTGTGTCCTTTGGTCAAGTTACCTGACTTGAATAAAGGCGCTATATAAGTACATGCCATTTACCATATCAAAGTTGCACAGAAAAAAATTACTAGCAGAAGTTTGCAGATGAAAAAAAACTTTTAATGGTGAGTGGAACAAATCAAAGATAAACATGACAGAATTGTGGATGTGTCAGTTTTATTCCAATTAAAAACATATAGAATTGTTAGGTTTATTGTATCTTAACTTGACAAATGTATGATTGTTAGGCTGAAAAAAATCTATTTGGGGCCAAACATCTTAACTCTGTCATGGTATTGAAGAAAAAACAAAACAAACAAAGGAAAAAAGATTGACTCCTCTGATACAGTTCCTGTATTTTGAATATGTATTCAGTTTTACTGGAAGTATAACATTTTAAGATGTAAAAATTATTCGGTATTTAAAAAGTTTAGTTGCTACTAACGAAACTCAAAAAAAGAAAAAAAAAATCAAATATATACTCATTATCTAATCTACTTAAAAAAAAATCGTTTGTGTATCTAACTTATAATAAAAATTGTAAGATCATATAATATAACAGTATTTAGGGAATATATGCATCCATATTTTTTGACACACCTTTCACATTCAAGAACAAGCAAACATGGACAGAGGTAAAAACACATTGTTAAATCCCTTTTTCATCAACAAAGCATTAAAGCTTTCATTTTACTATCAAGCAACAAATTAATTTAACTTTATTTTATAGCTTTTGTACCTCCATCAAGTATGTGTAGTAAAGGGATTCAGGCTGTATAGATATATACAAACATGCATACCGCAATCAGGCGCGGAGTCTTAAACAGACTTTATTGTCATTTTGTACACACAGAGTGTATACAAAAAGAAATTTCGTTCAGTACAGCTCTCAAGACATTTCCATTTTTGAAGTGCAGCAGTGATGCTTCATATTACTTCAGCTTCCCTTTCTTATATATTACACTCTGTAGCAACCAAAACTTGGTCTTCAGCCAAGAGAGACTGTAAGATACTGTTTGGCCATGCCAAAAGATTGTGCTGCATGACCTGCATTACGATGTGCCACTGCTATGGAAATGATTTAATACTCAAATACTTTAGCAGTGAGCAAAATTAACAGACACTGTGCAGACACTATGCACCGCAGCGGATTTATTCACTTCAGCCGAAAGTGAATAAAAATTAGGTTAGCATGCTGTACTTAAATACTAAAGAAGGAAAGATTAAAATTACATGTCTTAATGTTTAGGGTTTAATAATCTCAAATAAAACAGGAGAGGTGCATCACACACATTAAACAAAACAGCTTATAAATTAAATGCAATCCACCTAATTTATAATGTTCAACAAAGTGCATTTAAGGTCTTCACATTATAAGTTACATTAGATGTGTAACAGTGCAGGGGTTTAGAATCATCTTGATCTTACACAAGTCGACTAATAACTTGTTTTGTAAACTTATGACTTTTCTTTATCTACGCTGAACATATAATGTCAATTTGAATGATCTTATGGATCTTTTTTCATCATTAGAGCCATCAGTAACTGCACTCAAATCTGTTTTTATATAATCTGATATAAATCTAACAAATATATACATATATCAATTAACCCCTCTGATTAAATCTCACTTTTACAGACTCCTAAAAACAGGTATTTCACCACATTACTATCTAATCTAAAAACATGTATATGTACTATAGAAGATTTTTGCATTAACTGAAGCCGATTTTATAACAGACACTAAAATTGGCTACTTTTACTTTATAATGGCCTTTTTTTTTATTTAAATAATTGAATTATGGCATGGACAGTCTTATCAAATTAACCATAATTTTCTTTGCAATGTATTAAGTGTTGGAGGATGAGTCCATGGATCCATTAGATGACACCTGGTAGCCACTTGTAGAGCCTGCAACAAAAATACTTTATTAAATTTAGATTACAGAATACATAGTATTCAACATTTAGTCTGAAAATTGTAGTTGTATGATATGCATCAATAAGTGATGCTCACATAGTCATGTGACTCCCGAATACTGTTATCCTGATCTTGAGGCATCAACCGTCATCTGCCTTTTTACTTCCCTAGAGAGCTAATGGTTGCTATACTCACAGCTATGTATATCCCCCCAGTTTATGTGAACTCAGGCCTGTGAGCATTAGTAGAGCCTCTTTCCACTGAAAAGGACTGTGGTGTAGCTGTAGTAGGGTTTAATAAGTGTGCTTTGTTGTTTTGCTCTATTATCTTTTTGAATCATTATTCCCAATGCTGCACCATTTTTAATGAATATGAACAAAGTTGTTTTGGCAGAGTGTACCGCTTCTAAGAATTCTCTGAAAAACCACCAGGAACAGAAGCTGCAGTTGTCCTTCTACCAGTCAGTCAATTAATGCATACTATATTCAGTAAGTATCACAACTGGGTTTGCGGGGGCTCTGCAGCAGAGAAGAAGTCTCTGCGAAGGATTTTAACAACCCAAAAGACAGTAGGCCTCCCTGGGGGAGCTTGCTATCTCCCACAGCTTTTTTAGGTCCAAATCCATTTTGAAGACCTTTTAAGAGTATTTTTTTTAAATCTTCCCAGCCCCACCCCCATTTAAATCTGCTTCCCACCAACAGGCGGTTCAATAAATCCATGCACTATACTGGCCCTGCGCTTATCTGCCTAGATAGTAATATGATAAATGGACTGAATTTATGCTTAGCTCATAATACTGACCCTGGCTTATGCACTTTCAGCACATTGCTCTCACTCAAGAACACACATACACGGATAAGAAGAATAATTTGCCTTTTTCAGAAACACAACAATATATGACAAAAGGAAGCCTGAATCAAACTACTACTTCTGTATTGCAAGTAGAGTACTTTTCCAGGCCCTACTTTTGGCCATTTTTCTCTATTAGATCAATCCAGTAAAGAGGCTCCCAATTCACCCTAACTCTTTCATCACTCTTTTGATTGTTTTCTGGGATTCATTATATAGTAACTTTAAACCTATCTGACTCTAGACAATTTGACTAACATAACATGCCTTAAGTTGATATGCTGTGAATTTATGTTATAAAAATAAACAGTATTATATAAATTGGTGAAAAAAAAATATTAAATGTAAAGGCCTGAAATAGGACTAATACATATTTATGGTTGTGGATGTTAATGTTTACATACGTTTTCCTTTTCTGAATCTCCTGAAAAGGTTTCCAAATCCACTGGATATGGTTCCAGCACTTGTGCTCTAAAACAAGAAAAAAGTAATTGTGATAACCCCAAAAATTGAACCGATAGTGAAATAATTTAAGTGAAGCAAACTTTGTACCCTTGTTCTTGTTTGCGAGGTAGATCTCTGAGATTTTCTGATCTCTGACCGCACCTGGAAATTCATTTTTGCTGGTTAGTATCTACTTTTTAAAGATTTGAAAAATGATATGAAATTAATAAATATATCTTTGTTATACAAGCATATTAACTGATTCCAGTATTTGCTATATATTGTGCATCAAAAAGCCTAACAGCCCAGGCAAACTCACTGTTCTGTCTAATAGAGTTCCAAACACCAAAATGAAGAAACCCTTTATAAACACAAAAGGAACAGAAATATTAGAGAAAAACACAGCTGTCATATTAGAAATCATGTTAAAGTGTTAACAATTACCGCTCATGAACATGAATAGTTACCTGCAGTGAATTGAACAATGCAAATGTAATGTGGATCCCTCTGTTGTTTGGCCTGACCATGATTCCAATTCCTAAACCCCAAGTTATTCCAAAAAATGGTGTTAGAACAGCCAGACTCCTGGCAATCACCAGGAGGACATGCTTCTCTCCTGCTTGGGCAGCATTCTCCCCTGATCTTCTCCTTAACATTTTGAATATCACCACAATCAGGATTATAAGGTTCACGGCCACTATCAGAAGTGCAGGTATCACAAACCCCAAAAGAGCTTTGGACTCGTCCCAGTTGAGCCAACAGACAACATCGCCTCTGATGTATTCGTTTGAAGGAGCAGTTACAGCTATAGTTATTGTTGCAATGATCAGTGGTGCACCATATCCCAAAGAGAATCCAATGGCCAGCATAGATGCTTTAGACAGCCCTCCATCAAAGACATTGACCATACGGTAGAGCAACAACAGGGCTGAGGCTAGCATCCAGAAGAACAGAGCCAGGTAGAAAAAATGGATAAAAAAGGTAGCTGCTGTGCATGCTGGTGCATTTGTTGTCTTTGAAATGGCCGCTCCAATGAAAAACCAAATGTCTGCAATCAGGAGAGACACAGCGATGTTAACAATAGACACATGACGCAAGTACGATGTTGTGTTCTTTCTTATTTTTCTCCATACAATGCCTTCAATGATTAGGCATATAATCAAAGAACCCATAGAGATTCCAAGTCCAATGTAGGTTATGTATTCCAACGGAGGATCAGTATAGCTGGAGGGTGACATTAGAATAGAAAACGAGGTGGTATGGTTACAGTTGCAGGTGACTGATCCATTTTCACTCATTACAAAGGAGCAGCCATCCTCACTCCAGCCTCCAAGACCATCAAACAGTTTGAAATCCCAAAAAACACATTTAGGGTTTCCCAGGGTTTCATTAAGCACATCAAAAGCTATTGATATGTTCGTAAGATCTGATTCTGGCTGGATAAGTGCAACTCTTCCATTGATAACACTGGATGATGTATTTGTTTTTTCTCTCACAGGAAGAACGTTGTCCATGGATGCAAATAGTATCACTGAAATTGATTGTTTCTCTCCCCCAGCTTCTGGTATCTCTACTTCCAGTGAGGAATTAAAGTCCGCGTTGAAAATGTTTGTGAAATTAGTTTTGGTGAAAATTATATTTTGTGTATTTATTTTGAAAGGTTCATTGACAACATGAGCTGTTATTCCTTCAAAGGCGCTTAAAAACGAAGAGCTGGCATTTCTGGTTCCTGTATTATTACTGTTCAGTTGATCCCATGATTTTTTTGCAGCATCAGTGGTGAGAACTCCGGCACTTTCCAGGATGTTCTGTGTCAATAGACAAAACAAATAGAAAAAGAATATTAATTCCCATATCAGTAGCACATGTTTTGTTGAAAAGGAACTTGTGAAACTAAAACAGTGGCATTTTCATATGAGTAGATCCCCAGCCAAACTGGGGCACTGCCAATATGGTTAATATCAAAAACCACCACTAGATGCAAATCTATAGTACATACCCTTGTGGATTCTTCGTTTATTGTGATATTTAAAAAATCTACCCTTCGAGCAATATTTTCTAAGATGTTAACCATTGCGTTGATGGTTGCTGGAGAATCAGTTATGGTCTTTGTGTTGTTGATAGTTGCATCCTTGAGGGTTTCCAAGAATCCTGGCAGGGTGACTTTATCCAGTTCCTGACACATTTCAAGAGCAAAAGGTTTGCAGTTACAAGTTGAATTGCTTGAAGGCAAATAGTTTGGAGCTTTTAGAAATATATGCAGCAAAAAAGTACATTATTTCTACTATCCTATGAGTCTGATCTCTAAGTTTACAAATGTATAGTTAGCATGTGTGTGTCTAGCCTTCAGTGTGAGCACTATTTTTCCAATTTCACAATCAAATTGAGGACCAGTTGTTGCAAAGTGAGGACAATTTGCTGGTCCTCACATGCTATTTTGGTAATGGTTAAGTTTAGGGATAAGGTGTCAACTGGGTTAGGGTTAGGGTGACGTATGTATTGGTAAGGGTTAGGGTATAGAAATGGTTGAAAATGGCTGAAAATCAATAGAAGTCAATAGGAGTCAACACATGGAACAGTGTGTGTGAGTGAGACAGATACACAACCTTACTTGTGGAAGTATTGTGAAAGTGTAATAAATATCGCAGAATAACTACTAGTCGTTGGAAGC